GGTTGGAATAAGTTTGAATGGTGATATGTGACTTGTTGGCATGTTTGGTTGAGGTCCCGAGGGCCTCGGGATGATTTCGGATGGCCATCAGAAAGTTTGAACTTGAGAAATTTCAGCTGGTGCTGCTGCTTCTCTCATATCCGCACCTGCTGAGTGGGGACTGCAGGTGCGAGCTCCGTAGGAGCGGAAAGGAGGCGCAGGTGCGGCTTGGTATATCGCATCTGCGATGCTGCAGGAGCGGTAAGGCGACCACATATGCGAGGGCTGGCAAGTTAAGTGAAATTCGCAGAAGCGGATATTTTTCCGCAGAAGCGGAAGCGCAGGTGCGCTTATGGGGTCGCAGGTGCTAAATCCCTGAGGTAGAAAGTATATAAAGGACCCTTCGCGGATTTTGGTCATTCTTCACAATTTCAACTCGGTTTTTGGAGCTTTTGGAGGGTTTTGAAGAGGGATTCAAGGGGAAACTCGTTGAGGTAATGTTTTTGAACCTAAAACTCAATTCCATGGTGATTTTCAGTTGATTAAGCATGAAATTTGTGGGATTTAAGGGTGAAAATTGGGGAATTAGGGCTTGGAACTTGAGAGTTAAAATTGGGCGATTGAGGGGTCAAATGAAGTTAGATATTGGTAAATTTGGTGTGTATGGACTCGTGAGAGGATAAGGATTATGGTTTGTGATTGTTGTCGGATTTCGAGGCGTGGGCCCGGGGGTCGGGTTTGGCCAATTTCGGGATTTTTGATTTAATTTGATAATTTTCCCATGGGCTTTGTTCCGTTAGCATGTATTAATGATGTAATACTAATTTTTGGTTAGATATGGAGCATTTGGAGGCCGAGTCGAGAGGCAAAGGCATCGCGGGTTAGAGTTTGGTCCGGTTTGAGGTAAGTAATGATTGTAAATCTAGTCCTGAGGGTATGAAACCCTGGATTTCGCATTGTTTTACTACTTTGAGGTGACGCACATGCTAATTGATAGGCGTGTGGGCGTGCACCGTTGGGGATTGCGACTTGGTCCGTCCCGTAGAAACTATATAGTTGCGTATTTGACTAAAACTACACGATTCTTATGCGATTTAGAAAGAATTTCTTTAACTTGGGCTGAATTCCATATTTGGGCCTTGTACCAAAGTTGTTTGGACCCTTAGGGGGCTTTTTCTACTACTATTCCTCACTGTTTTGATTTAATATCTGCACTCAGTCATGCTATGTTTTACTGATTTCATAACTCAGTCTTATTTACTCTGATTTGATGCATAAAATGATATTTTGGGCTGAGCACCCTGTTTTACTGATAGACCGAGTGGCTTGAGAGGTTTCTCATTGAGTGAGGCCGAGGGCCTGTGTTGTGAGGATATTATGGGATCGGGCTGCACGCCGCATCATGTTGTTATTGATTCATGATTTTCGTGAGGCCGCGAGCCTAATTGATTTATGCCACGAGGTGGCTTTTTATGAGGCCGAGGGCCTGATTGATTTATGCCACGAAATAGCTTGTTACAGCGCTTGGGCTGTAGGAGCCCCTCCGGAGTCTGTACACCCCCAGTGAGCGCGGTACCCTAAGTGGGTGATATGATGTTGCCCGAGGGGCTATTCTTGATTCATGTTGTGCCCAAAGGGCTGATTATGAGTGATTGTGAGGTTGCCCGAGGGGCGGTTTATGATACATGTCTATGCCCGAGAGGCTATTTTGATTTTTATCATTCTTTAAACTTCATTGCGTCTCTGTTGAAACTGTTAGAAAGACATTTTTCAAAGGATTTTTAGTGAAATTGGATTTTAACGAGATAATTTGATTCTTTACTATTTTGGAAACGTATTGTTCTTACTATGGTACTATGACGTGGATTTGTGTGTTTTCTTACTGCTCAGTCTTTATTTACTTTTATTACTTACTGAGTTGGCGTACTCACATTACTCCCTTCACCTTGTGTGCAGATTCAGGTATTTCTGAACCCGGTAGCGGGTGTTGATTACTCAGTGGCAGGTCCATCAGAGTTAGCAAGGCCTGGCGATCACAGCCCTGCTTTTCTCCCTTCTTATCCTCCCTTAGTTGTATTCAGTAATTTCCAGGCTATGTTAGTCTTGATGTTGTCAGACGGTACTAGTAGATGCTCATGACTAGTGACACCCCGATGTCGGGCTTTCTTTCCGCACTGTTATTTTGATTTAAACACTTTATGAAGGTTTATTGTTAAGTAGCTTTGATTTTATCTTAAGAATAAAAATATTGACTGGTTTCGGTAATGTGTCGGCTTGCGTAGTACCACATTAGGCGCCATCACGACCGGGTTGGTTTTTGGGTCGTGATAATTTTCTTGTCACAATTTTCTTGTTGCGTCATTCTTATATATCTATTTTATTACAAGTGTGGTTAATATTACTATTATCTATAAATAATAAAATTATTGTACTAATACTGTTTTTTTTGGCTCTAACCCCTATTTTGTTTATCATCTTTGCAATTTTTTTTATATTATTATTATTATTGTTGTTGTTGTTGTTTATTTTTATTATTATTTTAGGAACTCATTTTCTTTACTTTATAAATTTCAAATAGTTTATGACCTGCTCTTCTGCAAAAGAGTTGGCATGTTACGATCCTGAAATTGAAAGATCTCTTCGATCGCGCAGGAAAGGACAAATATTTTCTCAGACAATGGCTTGTGAATGAATGGAGAATCAGGAAATAGAAAATATCGACCCACGCGGAGTACCACCACCAGTCCAAATAGAGGACCAGTTTGATGAAGTGGCGCCAAGACTAGCAAATAGAATCCTAAGGGATTATGCTAGACCATACCATTTCAATTGTGAATCTAGTGTCAGGAAGCCCCCAGTGACAGCCAATAACTTTGAAATCAGGACCCGCCTGATTCAAACGATCCAACAATCTTGTATCTTTACTGGAGATTCAAGTGATGATCCACATAGTCATTTAATTAATTTTCTAGAAGTAGTTGAAACTGCTAAGTATAATGGAGTATCCCCTGAAGCAATCAAGTTAAGGCTATTTCCTTTTTCTTTAAAAGGAGATGCTAAGACTTGGTTGCGAAGTTTGCCTCAAGGATCAATTACCACATGGGACCAAATGAGTCAGAAATTTTTAAATAAATACTTTTCCCTTGCTAAAACCACAAAGTTAAAACAAGACATATCTAATTTCTTGCAGACTGACACGGAGTCAGTTTATCAAGCTTGGGAAAGGTTAAAAGAAATGTTAAGAAAATGTCCACACCATGATATTCCTGAACATATGAATTTGTATATTCTTTATCACGGGCTAAAACCCTCTTCCAGAAATGTGATAGATGCAGCTGCAGGAGGTTCAGTAATGGGAAAAACCACAGAGGAAGCATTGCTATTGTTGAATGAAATTTCTGAGAAAGCCATCCAATGGCCATCTGAGCATGTAATTATCAAGAAGGCTGCTATAGTAAATCAGGCAGATGCTTTAAATACACTAACACAACAAATTGTTTCTTTGGCACAAAAGTTTGGATCTTTTCAGGTGAATACAGAACAACCAAACCAGTCTGAAGTTTGTGACATGTGCGGAGGAAATCATCTTAACCATGAATGCCAAGCAATCCATCAAAATGATGAACAAGTCAATGTTATCGGCTACAAATCTTACCCTTTTGGAAGTCCAATGGCACATAAACATCCATAATTTCAATGGAGCAATCCAAATGGTGCCGGAACTCTCAAAACTTTTAGAAGCAACATGTACAGGATTGCCCGGATATCAGAGTCAAAACCGAGGGCAATTGAATTTTAAACCTTATCAGCAAGAAGCCCCATATCAACAAAGGCCTCAACAAGCTCATCCATGTCTTGATGACCTTATGTACAAGTACATTAAGGCCACTAATGAAAAGATGGAGAGTCAGAACTCTGCCCTTAAAAATTTAGAAATTTAGTTGAGCCAACTGGCAACTCTTGTTTCAGAAAAGATTCAAGGTCCCTTACCAAGTAATACAGAGAAAAATTCAAAAGAGCACCTTAAGGCCATCACCTTATGTCAGGTAAGGAGCTTGATGAACCCTATGCAGACCGGTCAGGACAACAGGTATACAAGGTTAAGAATGTTGAAACGCCCTCTGAACCATCAGAAGAGAACAAATTCAAGAAAAAAAAAGAAAAAAATATTGAAAAATTGACTCCTATCCCTGTGACTATTCCCTTCCCATAAAAAATGAAATGAGAAAAGCTTGACAACCAATTTGCAAAATATTTGGAGATTTTAAAACAAATTCACATCAATATTTCTTTTACTGATGCTAATGTTACAAATGCCTTCATATGCCAAATATGGAAATTTTATCAAGTAAAAGAAAATTAGAAGAAGTTTCTATGGTACAGAAAAATGCAGTGCTATACTTCAAAATAAGCTACCACAAAAACTTGGTGATCCGGGCAGTTTTACAATTCCATACACTTTGGGAGGAGTATATTTTGAAAAAGCACTTTGTGATTCTGGAGCTTCAGTAAATTTGATGCCATTTTCTATCTTTAAAAAGTTAGATCTTGGTGAAATGAAAGACACAAGTGTTTCTCTTCAGTTTGCAGATCGAAGTACTAAGAAACCTAAGGGAATAATTGAAAATGTACTCGTAAGAGTAGATAAGTTTGTTTTCCATGTAGATTTTATAGTGGTTGAAATGAAAGAATGTCCTGATGAACCAATAATTTTAGGTAGACCATTTCATGCTACAGGAAGAGCTATTATAGATGTTCATCAAGCATAACTAATTTTGAGAGTTGATGAGGAAAGAGTCCTCTTTGATATGCAAAAGATACTAAGATATTCAGGCGATGAAACATCATCTTCATGTTTTTCAATTGACATGATTAGTTATCTTACAGATGAATTCAACGATGATCAATTAATTCCAGATTCAATGGAAAGATGCTTGATCAAATCACTCACCACACAGGACGATGATCCCACCATCAGAAAAGAAGTTGAAATATTGGACAAAGATTCAGAGGAATAAGAGATGAAATCCGAAGAAGTTCAATCAAAAATTGAACTCAAAACTCTCCCTTCTCATTTGAAATATGTTTATCTTGAGCAAGAATTATTTCTAGTAATTATTTCATCTTATCTTACTATAGAACAAGACAATAGTTTGATTAAAGCATTGAAAGCACATAAAGGAGCCTTGGGGTGGACTGTAGAAGATATTAAAGGGATTGGTCCGGCTATTTGCACAAACAGAATCCTCATGGAGGATAGCTACAAGCCAATAGTCCAGCCGCAAAGAAGATTGAATCCAGCAATGCAGGAAGTAGTGAAAAAAAAGATCGTAAAGATGTTGGCAGCAGGTATTATATACCCCGTTTCTGACAGCTAGTGGGTAAGTCCTATTCAGGTAGTACCAAATAAAGGAGGTATGACAATTATAAAAAATAAAAATAATGAGGTCATACCTACCAGGACTGTCACAGGGTGGAGAGTCTGTATTGATTACAGACGTCTCAATGATATGACTAGAACAGATCATTTTCCTTTGCCATTTATTGATTAAATGTTGGAAAGAATTGAAGGATATGGTTTTTACTGTTTTCTTGATGGCTACTCAGGATATAATCAGATACTAATCGCACCAGAAGATCAAGATAAGACAACCTTCACATGCCCTCATGGAACATATGCCTACAGGAGAATGCCATTTGGCCTGTGCAACGCCCCTGCTACATTTTAGCGTTGCATGTAGGCAATTTTTGCTGACATGACTGACAAATTTCTTGAAATTTTTATGGAAGATTTTACACTCTTTGGAAAAACATATAAGGATTGTCTTAACCACTTGACCTTAGTTCTTAAAAGATGTGAAGAAACAAACTTAGTTCTTAATTGGGAAAAATGTCATTTTATGGGTACAGAAGGAATTGTTTTAGGACATAAAATCACTGCTAAAGGGATAGAAGTTGATAAGGCTAAAATTAATCTTATAGCAGGATTACCCCCTCCCACAAATGTGAAAGGTATTAGAAGCTTTCTAGGTCATGCATGTTTTTACAGATGATTCATAAAAGACTTCTCAAAGATTTCAAAACCGCTGACTAACCTGTTGATGAAGGACATTAAGTTTGATTTTTCAGGTCACTACGTGACAGCATTTGAAACACTTAAGGAAAAGTTATCAACTGCACCTGTAGTTGTGTCCCCTAATTGGAACCAACTTTTTAAGGTCAGTGTGATGCTAGTGATAAAGCAGTTTGTCACGACCCCAAAACCGACCCAGTCGTGATGGCGCCTATCGTAAAACTAGGCCAGCCGACACATTTCTAAAATAGTTCAACATTTCATTTAAAGCTTAAATAATACCATTTTCAACTGAAAATCCATAAAAGATATAAAGTCAAACCCAAAATAAAAGCGGAAAATAAAAACGCCCACCTCGGGTGTCACTAAATCATGAGCAATACTACATTTGTTCCGAAACACAACTAGACCAACATAGTCTGAAATATCCAAATATACTAGAAGGAAGATAAAGAAGGAGAAGGCGGAACTGCGAACGTCAGGCAGCTACCTCGCTATCTCCGGTGAAATCCACGTTTGGGACAGTCAACAACCACTACCGTGGCCTGAGATACCTGGAACTGCACACAAGGTGCAGGGGGTAACGTGAGTACACCAACTCAGTAAGTAACAAGTCCAAACTATGGACTGACAGGTAGTGACGAACCAAACCTCAAAAGGTAATACAATTAAACTGTATAGTAAAGTAGGCATGCTTGCATTTCATGTATTCAGTTCAACAGTAAGTAAATAAAAATCTCAACAGTGTGAAGTATAAAGCTCAGCAAATCTCTACATACCAATGCACAGAAAGAATGAAAATGTACCATGTACCTCTACTATCAAGTGCTCAACTACTCGGTATTGTATATGGCCATCCAGCCCAGGGAAGATCCATCCCGGAATATATACACATCACTGACAACAGTCATCCAGTACCGAGGAAAGGCCATTCCAGCTCTATGGAGAGGATCCATCTCCAGGTATAAATACTTCGGACAAGATCCATGTCTAAGGAAGATCCACCCTCAATATCAACTGCGCTCACTGGGGGTGTGTAAACTCCGTAGGGGCTCCTTTTAGCCCAAACGCTATAACAAGCCAACGAGGCAAATTCAATAATCTGCTGCAGCATGCAGCCCAATCCCATACTGTCACTCTTAATCAGGCTCTCGGCCTCACTTAGTCATCACTCTCCAGTCTCACACACACGGGCTCACAATGCCATACTACTAGCCCAAAACAATGATATGATATTCCAAATAACGATAACCGAGACTGAGACATGATATTATATGCATGAACAAGATTGGGTACAGAATATCAATGAAGCTAATGATATGACAGCAAGAAACGACCTCTCGGGTCCCAACAGTATCGGCGTGAAGCCTTAACATGATAGTTAGCATGATTTACAGCTCATTAACTTAATCACATAATCACTACACAGGTATCAGCAAGAAAGAGTCACTAAGCGGTGCCATGGAACGATCCAGGACGCAATCCTCACGGTGCACGCCCATACGACTGTCACTTGGCATTTGCATCACCTCAATATTAATCATAGAACACATAGTTCGGAGTTTCGAACCCTCAGAACCAAGTTTGGAAGTGTCACTTACCTCAAACCAAGCTAAAGCTCTAACCCGCGATGCCCTTTCCTCTCGATCCGGCCTCCAAATACTTCGAATCTAAGCAAAATCAGTATATTATCATCAATACACGCTAAAGGAATGAAACCCACTCGAAAATTATTAAATTAGACAGAAAATCCTGAATTTGGCTCAAACCCGGCCCCCGGTCCCACGTCTTGGAATCCAACAAAAGTTGTAAAACTAGAAACTCCTTACACTCCCGAGTCTATACATACTAAAATCATCAAAATCGGACCTCAAATGGTCCCTCAAATCCCCAATTTAAACTCTCCAATTTGAAGCCCTAATCCCCCAAATTCTTCCCTAATTTCGACTAATATCAAGATTAAAAAATGGAAAAATCATCATAAACACAAGATACAATGCAAATCACAGCCCTAAGCTCCAAACTCGTCCAAAAATGGTGGAAAAATGACTAAAATTTGCGAAGGGGAAACTTTCCTGTCTAGAACTTCCGCATCTGCGGTCCAAATCTCATACCTGCGTAACCGCTTCTGCGGTCCAACCAACCGCACTTGCGGTTCCCACTTAAAAGTCCAGAACCGTATCTGCTCCCCAGGCACCGCACCTGCAGTGCCGCAGATGCGTCCAGCACACCGCATCTGCGGTTCTTCTCCTGATGGCCAACATCTGCACCTGCGATCTCCATATCGCATCTGCGAACTCGTACTTGCGGTCCCCAATCCGCATGTGCAGATATGACAGAAGCAGCAAATTCAGCAATATCAACTCAATGCCAATCTTTCCGTCAACTACCCAAATCCATCCCGAGGCCCTCGAGACCTCAACCAAACATGCCAACAAGTCACATAACACCATCCAAACTTATTCAAACCTTCGAAACACCCAAAACAACATCAAAACACCAAATCACCCTCGGATTCATGCCTAAGGATTTCCAAACTTCCGAATTCCGCAAATAACGCCAAAACTTATCAAACCTCATCCGAATGACCTGAAATTTTGCACACATGTCACAAATGACATGACGGACCTACTCCAATTTCCGAAATTCCATTTCGACCCCGATATCAAGATTTCCACTGCCGACCGGGAAATGCCAAATTTCCAATTTTGCCAATTCAAGCCTAAATCTACCACGGACTTCCAACTTACATTCCGAACACGCTCCTAAGTCTGAAATTACCTTGCGGAGCAATCTGAACCATCAGAATTTACATCCGAGACCTTTTACACATAAGTCAATATTCGGTTGACTTTTTCAAATTAAGCTCCTAAATTAGAGACTAAGTGTCTCAGTCCACTCCAAGACCACTCCGAACACAGAACAACCAACACGATATGATGAAATATAGCTGAACAACACAGAAAGAAGCAGAAATGGGGGAAATAGGGTTGTTACTTATGAAATGACCAGCCGGGTCGTTACATAGTTGGAGCCGTTTTAGGTCAAAGAAAGGATAAGGTTTTCCGTCCCATTTACTCTGCTAGTAGGACATTGAGTGAGACTCAGGTGAATTATGCCACGATAGGAAAGAGTTACTAGCAGTAGTGTTTGCTTTTGGTAAGTTTTGCTCCTATTTGATAGGAACCAAGGTTACTGTTTTTACTGATCATGCAGCTTTAAAATACCTCTTAGCTAAGATTGATGCTCGACCTAGATTATTAAGATGGATTTTACTTCTGAAAGAATTTGACCTTGAGATAAAGGACAAAAAAGGATAGAGAACCAAGTGGCTGATCATTTGTCTAGATTAGAAAACCCTCCCCTTGAGTTTAATGAGATAAAAGAAGAATTTCCTGATGAACATATTTTTCAGTTAAAACAATTGTGACTCAACCACCCTGGTTTGCAGATATCACGAACTATTTTGTTGGAAAGTGGATACCGTAAGATTTCTCTTACCAACAAAGGAAAAAGCTTATATGTGATGCAAAGTATTATCTATGGGATGAACCTTACTTATTTAAAAATTGTGCAGATAATATCATTAGAAGGTGTGTACCTGAAGAAGAGATGAATAAAATCCTATATCACTGTCATGATGGAGCAATTGGAGGACAACAGCAAATCGAACGTCTTTTAAAGTTTTAGAAGCCGAATTCTTCTGGCCCACACTCTTTAAAGATGCCCGAGAATATGTAGCACAATGTGACAGGTGTCAGAGAACAGGTAATATCACCAAGAGAAATGAGATGACATTGCAATCAATACAGGTATGTGAAATATTTGATGTTTGGGGAATAGATTTTATGAGTCCTTTTCCTTCTTCTCACTCTTTTGGATATATCCTTGTGGCTGTGGATTACGTATCAAGATGGGTTGAAGCCATCCCCACAAGAAACAAGGATGCTCGTACAGTGTGCAATTTTCTTAGAGAAAATATTTTTACTAGATTTGGGACACTGTGAGTCATCATTAGTGACCATGGAACTCATTTCATCAATAGGCAATTTTCTTCTTTACTGTCAAAATATAATGTGACTCACAAAACCGGAACACCATATCATGCTCAAACTCAAGGGCAAGTTGAGGTTTCCAACCGCGAGTTAAAAAGAATTCTTGAAAAAATGGTTGGAATCTCAAGAAAAGATTGGGATTTAAAATTAGATGATGCATTATGGGCATACCGAACGGCTTTCAAAATGCCATTTGGAACATCTCCATATAGATTTTATCTTTGGAAAAGCTTGTCATTTGCCCGTAGCATTAGAACACAAATCTTTTTGGGCATTGAAAGCACTGAACTTTGATTTAACCTCCGCTGTTAAAAAGCGATTTATTCAGGTTAATGAATTGGAAGAACTGAGATTGGGAGCCTATGAAAATGCTAAAATTTTCAAAGAAAAAACAAAAATATGGCATGACAAGTTGATACGACCAAAGAGTTTCAAAATTGGAGATCATGTACTTCTTTACAATAGCCGACTCAGGTTATTCCCAGGAAAATTAAAATCCAGGTGGATAGGTCCTTACAATGTTATAGGTGTTACTCCATACGGGACAATTGAAATTCAGAAAAATAGAGGAGACAAGTTTAAGGTAAATGGTCACAGGCTA